GAGTAAAACGTGGCAAGTCAGTCTAAATAGTAGATATATAACAGACATGATACTATAGCAGACGTGTTTGTTATAGTATCATGGACAACAGGCACTATCCAATAATTACACACGGAAAGAGAAGGGAGGCGTAATCGTATGGAATAAACTGAAGCCTAAACCGGCACCACAAAGGTTGCCAGGTCATATTTTATTTCTTCAGTAGACTGTTAATAATGGATATATATATATATCAATAAATAAATTTTTTCAAAAGTTACAATTGAGCACTGATATAATTATGACTTTTTGAACATGATTTTATTATTACATATTTTTAGAAGGTCAATATGGTGTTTCAGTAACTCAGTAAATTGAAGTCGAAATCAGTAGACCTAGTAACCGTGCGGGAGGTAGTAATGGGCAACGTACAGGAACCAAAACATGACGGTCATATCGAAACTGGCTTCACTTTTCGAAGTTTTATGAAATCAGCGTTACCAGTCCTCTCTCTTATCTTGTCTAAGTTCCAACAATTTACAAAAATCAACATTTTTCAACCGGTAGAGCAAGTTTGGTTCCGCAAAGGATATAATATGTCAGATCATCTGCTGAAAATGAGAACCTTAATAGACAAGGACAAGACAAAGACACAAATGAATACCAACTACCCAAACGTGTCGATGTTGTGTTTTAATTTATATATATATATATATATATATATATATATATATATATATATATATATATATATATATATATATATATATATATATATAGAATAGAATAGAATTTATTTAATCAATACATATACAAAAATAGTTTTGTTTTTGACAAGTCAAAGGAATAGTGACAATACTTATAAAACAGTACATTTTAAACATTACAAACATGTATGTATTTAATATTAACAGTTAAAAAAAAAAACGACAAACACACTTTGTGGAATTATAAAAAAACATGAAATATAATTATAATAGGCAACTGCCCTGACCAAACTAGTACTATTGTGTAAAAGCTGTACTTAAGTACTCTGTTTTTGAATAGAAACAATGTTTCAAAAAGTGTGATTTGATTTTATGCTTAAATGATAACAAGTGAAGACTTTTTACTTCATCTGGCAAAAAGTTATACAAACTGACGTCAGTCGAATTTTTTACGCTCTTTGTCAACCTAAAACGTTGTGCTCTAATAGCATCTCTAGATCTTGTATCGTGATCATGGACGTTCGAGTTTACGTTAAACTTACCTTTGTTGGCATGAATTTCAATCAGCGTCTCATATATATAGAGTGAAGGTAATGGCATAATACCTAAATCCAGAAATAAAGGTTTACAGTGTTCCCTATACTCTGCTCTTGCAAGTATCCTCACTACTCTTTTTTGTAATTTAAAAATTCGATCTGCGTAAGAAGAATTACCCCAAACAGTTATTCCGTACTCTAATGGCTATGAAATAGTGCAAAGTAGCACATTCTTAGGGTATTTTTAGGAATCATATAAACTAAGTTGCGCATTAAAAATATACTTGTAGCAAGTCTAGAACTTAAGTAATCTATATGAGCACTCCAATCCAAATTATCGTCTATAAAGATTCCTAATAGTTTAACACTATTTCTTAAGATATACTTCCAATCAGAACTAAAAATCAAATTCTGATTTTTCTCTTCATTTAGCATTAGCCCATTATGTGAGAACCAGTTTTTTGCTTTCTTGGTATCACTATCTATTTTAATTTTTAAATTATTCTGATTAATATCAGTATTTATGAGAGTTGTATCATCTGCAAAGCAAACACATTTTATAGGAAAAGTGTAGTGAAATAAATCGTTCAGATAAATAAGAAACAAAGTGGGTCCTAATATCGAACCTTGAGGTACACCATATTCGACAGTGTTAAACTCAGAATAGCTGTTATTAAGAAAAACTGCCTGTTTTCTATTTGTTAGGTATGATCTAAATAGATTAAGAGTGTTTCCCCTGATACCGTACTTATGCATTTTTTCCAACAGTAATTCATGCGAAACACAGTTAAAAGCTTTGGATAAGTCACACAATGTCAAAGACACAAAATGACCTTCCTCCAAGCCATCAACTATATCTCTCACAATTTTCTGTATAGCTAGTGTAGTGCTACACTTTTTTCTAAAGCCATATTGGTTACAGTGAAGTATTTTGTGTTTTTCTAGATATTCTACCAAACGAACGTTTAGAATACTCTCAAAAATTTTGCCGAGAATGGGAATGATTGAGATGGGACGGTAATTTCCAATTTCATCTTACACATATATATATATATATATATATATATATATATATATATATATATATATATATATATATATATATATATATATATATTTTATATATTTGTTATAAATTTATTCTCATATAAATTACAATCCTAGAGTATTTACAATAATGTGCACGAATGAAGTTCTATACAGTTTTTACTTTAGATAAGTGATAGACGTAATGCGGAAAAGACCCAAACAAACAAAAAAGCAGTGCAAAAATCACGACAATTTCTGGCGGAAGCTTGGACCGGCCGTACTAATAAGTTAGCCAATCGAAAGGTGAATAGGCCAGGCATTGAATGTAGGATCTGATATTTTAAAAATTGGAAAATTGGAATAATACTTCCTTTGCCTCATTTTGTTCTGATTTGATATTTCCGATGTATTAAAAAATACGTATACCGTTACGTACTATATGTATTATATTTAAAATATTTAAGTATATTCTTTGCACAGTTCTATCATATTATTTCTGTGTTCTTTTACCCAAACAAACGATTTCAATATTATACAGAAATTATAGTATAAATCCGAAGATTTTTTAATTGGCGAAACTAAAAGTCAGATATTTCTAGTGCTCGCCAACGCAAGTAAATAAATATAGCAGAAAATTGTTTGAGATTTATTTTTAATGCAGGGCTCCTGCCATCCGCTTATACGTATTTTGACCTTATAAGGTCTCCTCAGAGTAACTTATGCAGAAGCTTATAAGCGTATATATGAATTGTTTATTGACACATAATATTGGACATGTGATATCTTATTTCGACTTTTAGATAAGATTTAAATGCAGATTAAGAAGCTGATGCGACAATTTCTTGTTTTTTTTATAGCCCTTTTTCTATCCGAATTGTCGAATAAAGTCCTCTCTCATTTCTCGCCATTCATCCCTGTTGTGTGCTAGGCGTTTCCACATTGGTCCTGCGACTCTTTTGATATCGTCGCTCCAGCGCATTTGAGGTCTTCCTCTTGGTCCCTTCGCATCGTACGGTCGCCAGCTTCCGACTTCTTTGTTCCATCTACCATCTTCGAGACGTTCGTTGTGTCCAGCCCATTTCCATTTTAATTTAGCTGCTTGTTTCGTGGCGTACTTTATTTTTGTTTTGTTCCGGATTGCTTTCGAACACTTTGGTTCGAAGGTTTTGGGGTATCTTTTTGTCTTTCAGTATGTATGAGAGTTTTCCAAATGCGGCCCATCCCATTCTTACTCGTCTGCTTATTTCGGTAGTTTGGTTTTCTTTGTTTACCTTGATATTCTGACCCAGATATATGTATTCTTCTACATGTTCCACTTTTGTTCCTTGGATGGTTATCGTCGGTTGATCATCTTTATTCGACATTAGCTTAGTTTTACTCAGATTCATTTTCAGTCCTTTTTTTATGGATTCCGTATGAAGCTCATCGATCATCGTCTTCAGTTCTTTCCAGCTGTCGGCTATTAGTACTACGTCATCTGCATATCTTAGATGGTTTAAATACTTTCCGTTTATCGATAGTCCCTTTGTTTCCCAATTTAGTGATTTAAAGATGTCTTCAAGTGGGGCAGTAAATAGTTTTGGAGATATGGTGTCTCCCTGTCTTACTCCTCGGTTGATTTTTATTGGCCTCGTTTTCATTCCGTTATCCATCGTGACTACCATTTCAGCGTGTTGATATATATTATGTATTAATATCCTATATCTAGAATCTATTCTGCTGTTGACCAGTGCTTCCTCAATAGCCCATAATTCTATGATGTCAAAAGCTTTCTCGTAGTCTATAAATGCTAAACAGATTAGTAAATTCTATTCGTTAACTTTTTCTATTAGGACATTTAGTGTGTAATTTCTTGTTTAACATTTTTTATATTAAACAAGTTACAGCTTTGGTATAGCATATAATGCTGTAGTATAGATACTACATGTTTAAGTTTATATAATAAATATTGACTTGTAGTTTATATAAAAATGAAACAACTGACTATATTTTCGTTTCTATGTCGCTTAGTATAATTAGTAACTTTATGTCTCTTCCTGGAAAATCTTCTAATAGGAATCTTTCACACTGAGTCATGCCGTTCCTTATATTTTGTTGTAGCAAATGCCTGGCAGCCTCCAGTAAGATCTCGCCTCCAGAATAGCGTGTAAGGATCATTTTTCCTCATATCAACCAACAGTTCGATGCTATATTTCGACATAGTCTTGTCTGACTTCATTGAGATTGAGATGTCGCTCATGTAGAGGTTTACCCATGCAGATACGCATTTTCGTCATCAAAAAGGTGGTTTATGCGCATTTCTGGTTTACTCAGTTATCGCGCGATGTAATTGTTGATATTATTATTATTTAAAAGTATGCGACTATTTTTTGACACTTGACAAGAACCATTTTATGGACTGCAAGTTACACCAGACCGTAAACATATTAAATAATATAACAGATACTCGAGGTAGCAATGTGGAAACCATTGCAAAACCAACCAGTTTATAGAATATAACCTTCCCAATGCGTTAGATTCCTAATATTCTGATTTTAATCAAGAAATTAATCGAAAACTTCTATAATCGTTTGTATACTGTCTATTGTATGTTTATGTCCAAATGTTCATGATATTTGCAATAATTTGGTATAAAATACTAAATTTTCCCCACCCACTTCATAAAAGTAGGAATGTAAGACAAAATTACATGAATTATCTGAAAATTACTATAGACTGTACTAAAAAGTGACATTAAAAAAAAACTTACAGTTAACACTTAGGGTCATCGTCGAAATTAATTTCTTGTCATCAAGAAGGGCTCGGTTCCAAACTTCACATCGAAAAACTGCCTCATCGTCTTCTTTTGTGGGGTTGATAACGAGTGTGGCCGTCGTGGGTTGGTCCCTCGATCCGCCGTTCCTCAATGCCGTTTCCAGAGGATATTGGGAACCTAGAATAAAAACGTCAAGGGTGAGTTTCACTTAAATTAATGTAAGGCATTATTAAAATTTATATTTAGTATACGGATGTAATATGCTTTTGTGGCTGATATTTGAAAGACCCATAATTTAATTTGTTTTAATTATTAATTTTGGAATTGATTATGATTTCTTGCTGTGGAAATACAAAATAATTTATATTTAACGCAATATATAAATTAATTATTACAAATTAGTGACGTGTCGTTCACGAACCATCCGGATATTTACATTGACTCGAAGGACCCTGTTCGAACGTGATCCAAGCACCGCGACAGTCAATTTCCTTACACGAATAATAATTTTATTAAAAGTCTCTCTTTTTGTGTCTGAACAATTGGTATATCGAAAATTTTATTTTTAATACTCTTCACTTTTATTACCTTTTTATTATTTTATTACGTTTAATATCCTTTTTACCTAACTAAACGTCCATTGAGACATAAAGGGAACAGAGAACAAACTTCCAATAGCTATTTATTGATTGACAACGAAGTTAATTTTTAAGGAGTTTCCAGTTTTAATCAGATCCAAATTACCCAAAACTTGGGTGTGAAGATCGCGGCGTTGGGAGGGATCATGCCCAACATCGAAGCGCCTAAAACTGAGAGGAAGTGGGCCCTTCATTATGTTATGCAATCGATGGTGCTCTACGCTGCGCCTGTCTGGGAGTTCTGCAGTTTTAACAAAGTGGTACAGAGAGCAGCTCACCCAAGGAGATAGGAAGAGTCTATTGAGGGTGGCATGTGCATACCGAACAGTCTCTGCTGAGGTGCTGGGAGTTATCACAGTGTGTATTCCGATAATAAGGTAAAGGAAAGAGAAAGAATATACGAGAGAAAAAATGAAGATATAGCAACAAAACTTTTAAAAATAAAAGAAAGGCAGAGGTCTATAATGTTGTGGCAAAAGGAATGGGACAAGATGCAAACGGTGCGTAGTGAACGAAGTCGGTAATTCCCAATCTGGTAAGATGGATTGATTGCAGACACCGCGTTTGGATTACTTCCTAACGCCGATGCTCGCAGGACATGGTTGTTTAAGGGCATGCCTTTACATATTTGAAAAGGCAGAAAGGCAAATGACAAATGAATGTACTTTGAAATATCGGACACTGTCTCACACACTCTACTGGTATGCAATAGATGGATAAATAAGAGAAGCCTTAAGAGAGATAGGAAGTAGGGCCCAATCAGTCACAGAACTGGTGGAGGAGATGCTTACATCATTGGAGACTGGAACAAGAAGAAAGGGGTTGGAAGGCAGGGTGTCCACGAGCAAGCAAGAAGATAAGGCAGAATGAGAAGGCCGGTAATTCACCGCTGAGGAGGGTATTTTTTAGCAGGTAGGTATCTGGAATTGACGGCGATGGTGTCCAAACAACACCTGCGCGCGGTTTCAGAGGCTGGAAGGCGATTTTGCCCATCTTCTAGAACCGAGGTATGTTTGAAACATTTGGACCACCTCCCCCCATAGAAAAAAGGTTATATTAAGTGATCACGGTTCATCCGAGTCTTCAAAAAAGTACTTCCCATAATTACTAAAACTTTACCAATTTCTAGATTGTAAATAAAGTAGTTTAACCTTGCAAAACTTTCTACACTTCAATCTGAACGATATTTCAGACTACCACTCGATTGTGCTCACATAATTAGTGACCACGACCTCGCAAAAAGAGCCCTGAAACCCAACAAGGTCTCACGGCTACAAAAAAAGTACAAAGATTTGTAAGGAACAATCGTACCAAACTCCAATCTTATTATTTTCGCTTTTCTCTATAAGATGTTTCAACTGCGTGTTAGCCAATAAGGGAACTAGATTCTAACTGCATTCCAAATATCTATTGAATGTTTCCATATATTGCAGAAATTATTAGAAATATGTTAGTTACTAAAGAAAGTATGATTAGGTCTGGTTATAAAAATAGATATCGAAATAATAATAAAAAGCTGAGGAGCAGCTAGGAACGCAATAAAGTCACGTAGGAACGGTTCTCCTTCAAGAAGCATTTCATAAAATCGAAGCCATTTTATCAGATTGTATATCCTTACTGGCATTTATACTTTCAGTCACCTGTTGACTTTCAATCACGTAAAACGTGATCATCATTATTCTGGCTTTATAACTTGCGTGGGTCCTAGCCTCCTCAAGAATTTCTCTCCAGTCTTCCCTATCCATCGCCTTTCTACGCCAAGCACATATTCTCATATTTCTCATGTGTCCATCGTTGTTATCGAGAAACCTTGTTCTGGGTCCTCCTCTTCTTCTCTGACCAATGGGTCTAACAAGCAGCGTTTTTCTAGCTGGTCATTTTGTTCATTACATGCCCTGTCCACCTCAGACGTCCTACCTTAATATGTTTTACGATATCAGTTTCCTGGTGTAATCTATAAAGTTCGAAGTTGTATAGTCTTCTCCACACTCCCTTGCCATTCACTGCTCTATAGATTCGCCTTTAACTTTTCTTTCGAAACATCCTAACATGTTTTCATTACTTTGAGTCTCTGAACCATATTTTTTTTAGCGTATGGATAATTACAATACGATAAAAGTAGTATTTAGATAATAATTATGTTCAAATTGGAATTGTAACCTAAGTTAAATATTAAATATTAATGTCCAAATTGCACAGCCATTCAATTGCACCAGGAGAACACTCTGCAAAATCTTGAAGGTCTCCCGCTGTATGCGTATTGGCAATCCGCAGATGGTTGATGGTCGTCTCGGGGATCCACAATCACATTGTGGGCTTTCTGCATGACCCCATCGGTATAGAGAATCGGCACATTTGCCATGACCCGTGCGTATGCGATTTAATTTTGTCCATATAGGGCGTGGCAGGTTTGATCCAGTGAAGCCGATCGACGTACTTGTTATTTTGATGACGTCTGGCTCTGTAGTTGGCATCCATCTTTTCGTCCACTGCTCTTGCTTATTGTAGCTATCACCCATTCCCTGAACGGATTGGACAGGGGGTCGTCTGGACTTCAGTCTTTGTTGGTCTCGTGCGGCGTGCGGAATATACTGGTGAATTGGCAGACGATTATTTGCCATGATTTTCTGATATTCTCTGACAAGTGCTGCCGTTCGTCGAATATCTGGAGGTGCTATATTGCTCAGAATTGGAAGCCATCTTAGTGGAGTTGATTTAATAGTACCAGATATTACTCTCATAGTGTAATTTAGTTGAACATCAATCTTGTTGACATGAGCGCTATTTAGCCATACCGGTGCGCAGTATTCAGCGACAGAATACACCAGGGCCAGTGAGGAGGTTCGAAGTGTATCCGCAGTGGCACCCCATGTCGTTCCAGCAAGCTTTGTTATTATGTTGTTACGGGTTCTCACTTTGGCAGCTACATTCGTAAGATGGGTTTTGAACGTCAGTGATCTGTCGAGCGTTACACCCAGGTATTTAGGGTTGTTATTATGTTTCAAAGTCTCGCCATTGAAGGTGATGCTAAGGGTGTCATTCGAAAGCTGATTTGTGAGATGGAAGAGGCTTGTCTCAGTTTTGTTTGTATTAGGGCGAAGTCGCCATTGTTTAAAGTAGTCGCAGAGAACCCTTAAGTCTTCGGTAAGCGCCCTTTCTCCAACATCTTTGGCTTGGTTTTGAAATGCGATAGCCAGGTCATCTGCGTAAGCAAATTTTTTTGATTTTGTCTCTGGAAGATCGGCTGTGTAAATGTTAAATAATAGTGGAGCAAGCACTGAACCCTGTGGGAGGCCATTATTTAGCTTTCTGACATTGCTCTTTGTATCGTTTATATATACTTGAAACAGTCTGTTGGTTAGGAGGTTATTGATTAGTTGGCAGGTTTTCAGGCATGGTATGACCTTCATTAGCTTGTAGATCAGGCCTTCTCTCCACACAGTGTCATATGCAGCCGTCAGATCTATAAACGTTACGGCTGTTTTTTCCCGTTTTTCGAAACCGGCTTCAATAAATGTCGTTAAGGACAGTACTTGATCACTACAGCTACGCCCGCTTCTAAATCCGGCCTGTTCGACTGGTATCACAGTGTCGGTGATGGGGTATATCCTGTTATATATAAGTCGCTCTAGTAGTTTGTAGCAGCAACTGAGGAGGGCAATGGGTCGATAGTTTTCGGGTAGTTCACCGTCCTTTCCAGGTTTTAAAATTGCAATAACTTTGGTTCTTTTGAACTCTGGAGGTAGTACAGATGTCTTCATTATGTCACTAAAAAAGTCTTTGAGCCAGTGTCGCGTTTTTGGACCACAGTGAATTAGGAACTCAGGATACATTCCATCGAAACCTGCCGCTTTGCCTTTTTTAATTTGACTGAGGCCATCGTTTATTTCGTTCAGAGAGAAGCATCTTGAAAACTCTGAAGTAGGAGGAGTGTTTGTCTTAAGTTCTTTTAGAGCTTTTTTTGTAGACGTCGTATGGATTTTGTCAGAGGGGGCACGCGATACTTCAACTATTCTGTTAGCTATCCTTTTCGGATCGATACTGTTCTTGTTCAAGCGTTTCTCTCTAACGGCTCCACCTAGTCTACGTAGCAATCCCCATGCCTTCCGGCTAGATCGTGAAAAATCAATATGCTCTACTGTTGTTTTCCATTTATTAAGTCGGGTTGAGTCCAGAGAAGTCAGTAGACTATCAGCAATCTCAGGATCTTCGGAATCCACAAATTCTTCATACAGTCGTTGACTTTCTTCTGTCCAGCCTGGGATGTACTCCTTTCGAAAACCACGGGGTATATGTTTTTTGGCTATGGAAAGTACTAAGCTTACAAAGCGGTGGTAGTTCTTGGCTTTCGGATCAATAAAACGGATGCAATCGTCAAGTCTTTTGGTGTATTCCGGCCGGTTTGCTTTGTTAAAGTTCCAGCGTGGTCTTGGTGTGGATTCAAC